ACCACCTGAAGAAGGCCGGAGCGTACAACGGCCGAGACGTTGTGATAAACATGGCGACAAAGATGAGGACAATAGTCCGAATAATGTAAATAGTGTACATAATACCTCATCTGAGAAATATAGACAGATGCTCAGTTTTTACTCACTGCTTTCCATTGAATCTAAGTTTACACACAGACATGCGAATGTAATGATGTTTATACGTTATTACAGCTTCCACGGATCCTGTTCGTAATATATCCATATCTACCAAATATAAAAATGCTTTTATCATATTTCCTAGGTGCCTTCCTAAATGGATGAATCCTGATTGTGGACAAATTTGCTTACACGGCGTCAAGGTTCCAGCTAATAGCAGTAATTGTCAGTGTGATCCAGGTTGGGCAGGGATCGGTTGTGATTCTGAATGTTCCTTTCACGGTCAAATCGTCAACGGGGCTTGTGTATGCGACGAAGGTTGGCGGGGCCCGTTGTGTGACATTCCTGGATGCCCCGGTCTAACCAAAGATTGCTCAGGACACGGAGATTGCAACGCTGCCACTCACCAATGTTCGTGCTACCCAGGTTGGAGAGGCAATGCTTGTGAGTTGTCGGATTGCCCCGGCGAGCCTGACTGCAACAAAAGAGGCAGATGTGATACAAATGTTGAGCCACCCCGATGTCTAGACTGTATTGCCGGGTGGATGGGAGCTGCTTGCGAAGAACCTTGTGTGAATGGTTCCCAAGTCCCTGCAAACAGCGGAAAGTGCAAATGTCATTCTTGTTATGCTGGTCGGGGTTGCAACAGCGAATGCAGTGGACATGGGCGGTGCACTGGTGCTAGATGCATCTGTGACAAAGGCTGGAGAGGAACAAAATGCGAAGTCCGAGGATGTCCTGGGAAATTCCATGATTGCAGTTTAAACGGGGTCTGCAACAGTGCCTTGCAACGCTGCACCTGTATACCAGGTAAGAAATTTGGTTTAAAATATACGGCACATTCACTCATTAACAACGGAAATTCTCTGTTTTCATTATTTTTCGCCTTTGTTAACTGCTTGTTTTCTTTCTTTTCTTTATTTTTATTCCCATTTTTTGTCTCTTTTCCTCTCCTCTTTCTGATTACACTCTTTCTTCAACTGTCTTTCCTTCTAGGTCACTTTCTTTTCTGTACTCTCTCTGTCTTTTTTCATCTTTCTCTCCTATTTGTTCTATTCTATTCCTACCTGTCCTTCCCGCTTTTTCAGCCTTCATTTTTTGTCTATCACTTTCCTTTTTATTCTCTTTCTTTCCTTCTTTCTCTTTTTCTTTCTTTTCCTTTATTTCACTGACCTTTACCTCCGCTCCACTCTTTCCTTTTCACCCATTCCTTTGTTTCACACCTTTCCACCTCCCCCTTTGTGTGTGTGTTTCACTGTTTCCACCCCCCCTTTGTCTGTGTTTCACTGTTTCCACCCCCCCTTTGTCTGTGTTTCACTGTTTCCACCCCCCCCCTTTGTCTGTGTTTCACTGTTTCCACCCCCCCTTTGTCTGTGTTTCACTGTTTCCACCCCCCCCTTTGTCTGTGTTTCACTGTTTCCACCTCCCACTTTCTGTGTTTCACACCTTTCCACCTCCCACTTTTCCTTGTTTCACACCTTTCCACCTCCCCCTTTGTCTGTGTTTCACATCTTTCCACCTCCCCTTTGTCTGTGTTTCACATCTTTCCACCTCCCACTTTGTCTGTGTTTCACACCTTTCCACCTCCCACTTTCTGTGTTTCACACCTTTCCACCTCCCACTTTCTGTGTTTCACACCTTTCCACCTCCCACTTTCTGTGTTTCACACCTTTCCCTCCTCCCTGTGTTTCTGTGTTTCTGTGTTTCACCCTTTAACCTCCCCCTTTGTCTTTGTTTGACTGTTTCCACCTCCCCCTTTTCCTTGTTTCACACCGTTCCACCTCCCCCTTTTCCTTGTTTCACACCGTTCCACCTCCCCCTTTTCCTTGTTTCACACCGTTCCACCTCCCACTTTTCCTTGTTTCACACCGTTCCACCTCCCACTTTCTGTGTTTCACACCTTTTAACCCCCCCTTTGTCTTTGTTTCACTGTTTCCACCTCTCCCTTTCTTTTTTTCACTCCTTTTCACCTCTCCCATTTTAGTATTTAATTTGTAAATAATTTGTAGTGGGTATAAAATATTTTCATCCCCGTATAATGATGAATCGAACAATATAACAAAAATGGGATAATAGGTTATCGCTCCTCGCTCTTCAGAGGTTAATCGAGGATAAAACATGTGCACGATGATTAAAAAAGAAGAAATAAATATACTACCAGAGGATCAGCATTATAAACTAGACAGATTACATTTAGACCCAGTAATCATTCCTTTTTACTTACAAAGGGGATGCTACTTTGATTTTATATAAAGGTCATGAAAGTACTTGAGATCATTTTATATTAAGTCTAAGCAGCCTCCCCTATTTCTGTGTTTTTATTTGCTTAACCTTACACTTATCCACCATTTTGTTTTAATATATTTGTATATATAAAATATAATTGTAAAATGTTTATCTCTTATTTTTATTCTGATTTCTTTGCTTTCTTTCAGGGTGGAAAGGGGAAGACTGTAGTATTCCAGATTGCATAGATAATTGCACTGGTCACGGATATTGCAACGGAACGAATCGCCAGGTACCTCAATGTCAGTGCCACTCGGTAAGTATTGGTATTTTTATAATTTCAAACGTTATTTTTAGTGGATAACTGTATGCAAGCAGACGCTCTGTTTATTTTAGACAATATTTATTTTGTCTACTGGTTTGCACAGTCGAGAAAACCTATTAACAAAAATGTGCCATCTGACAGAATTCGAACCTGCGTCCCTCGTTTTCTCTGCTACAAAAGATTAATCGGCTCCGTTTCCTATTTGAAACGTAAACAAAGCAATTTGTAAAGAATTAATGGATTTTTTTTTTTATCCGTCATTTTTTTTTTTTTTTACTTCAAACGTTACTTTTATTGTATACCCGCATTTGTGTAGATGTTCAGTTTTATTTTAAGCAGTATTTATTTCGTCTACCGGCCTACAAGCTCGGGAAATTTTTTTGAAGATAATGACTCTCCGGCAGGGCCCGAATCTGCGCCCTTTCTTGAGGAAGAACCACCTTCTGATCCGACCTTCTCGCTTATATTTATATGCGAGTAGGGAAATTCGACTTAGTGTATTAGTTAACAAGCTAGTCCCGCTATATCAATTACTACTGAATAGTGAGATCGATCCTCACTAAGTGCTCCGTAATTTCTGCCTTCTGTACTTAATTACTGCACGTATATGTGCGTGGGTTTATACACCGCTAAAGAAGAGTATTTCTATAAAACATATCGTACCTGAAATGACGTAAACCGAAGAAGCAATTGCCATTAATTTATATGTGAAAATCTTTTCCGCTTTCTCAGATCTTATTATAACCCTGTGAGAAATTAACAGTATTCAATTAATAGTTTTGCAGGATAATTTGATTGCTTCAAAAGAAAACTGTATGAATTAGACTAATATCAATTACACTGCTGTATTTCAAAGTTTCCAATTCAGCCACAATTGTAGGCGAAATTAGGCCTTTCGGTCGGCGTGATTTTACTTTGTGGTTTACTAGCCCAGTTCATCTAACCTAATGGGATTAGTAAACTGATTGATTTCGACCAGTTATAAATGCGAAGCGTAAAGACGTTCACAGAGAAATGGAACGAGAGTTTATTATAGAACGTCATCCAGACTGTCATCCGAAAATGAAATTTATACATTAATTTTGACCGATACACAAGTTTGTCTATGACTCTTTAAAAATACGAAAAACTTATTTTTTTTAATTCAGAATTGGTTGGGTCGGAACTGTAACCAGCAGTGTGCTCACGGTAGAATCCAAAATGGTGCCTGTGTCTGTGATCCATGTTACAATGGCCAAGCTTGTGATTTGGAATGTTCTCGAAATGGTATCTGCACAGCAGGACAATGTCAATGCTTTAAAGGTGTAAAAGGTAAGTTTACTTTTAACTATGAAATGATTGATGTAGTCTAATATTTAAAAATTTCAAAAAAGAGTCTAATAACTGGAGATTTTTGTGAGATTTAACAAATTGTAAGCATGTGCCACCGAAATCCGAATACGCATTCGTTTAGCGAAAGAGACGTTCCAAAACCTAAGTGCAGAAAAACGGAAAAAATTCGTTAAAAATAAAAAAAAAAAAAATAAAATATGGTAGATTGCTATGTGTTATCCATCCTCTTATATGGCAGTGAATGCTGGACAATCACGCATGGATGAGGAGAAGACTTGAGACAACATTAATGTGGTTCGACAGAAGGATACTGAAAATTCTATGACCGGGACAAGTAAAGAACGAAGTCTTAAAAATGGTTAAAAAAGAACAGTTATGCTCAGAACCGGAAAGAAACCACTGAAATTTTAAAAAAATATAATTAAGGAGGGCTTGAAAAACGTAACACTCATAGGGTTGCTGATTTGTTTGCTCTCCTCATACTATTACTCTTTGCTACCCACCACAGCTGAACACAATGAAAGAGTTAATCTTCTTATATCTTTTTACTAGCAAAAATGATTGACGTTACGTGTCCAAGTCGTCGTCTTTGCAGCAAAAATGGACATGGGGAATAGCACAGGCGACACTTGTTTGAAAATAAGTTGACATAGTTTTCTGGTCATAATATTTATTTTACTAAACTCTATTAAAGCATTCAGGTTCATATTAGAGAAATTTAGCCTATCGAAATGAAGTACTCTAGCTCGGTTGGCTGACCAGCTAATACGAGAAGTGCTGAAAAGTCCTCTGTTCAAACCATTTTCCCAAATGTCAGTATTTTAATGTTGAAACATCTGAATACTGATCTTGAGAAATGAGCCAGGCCGAGAACTAAGCGGTTTTTCCAAGAGAGTAGCTCTCATTTTTGCCAAACATCGCTGTTTATATTGTTTACTGGCTTATATATCATTAATCTATTCACTTTCCTTGAAACAAGTTGAAACATCGGTTCCCGTACGATCACCGAAGTTAAGTAACTTCGAGCCTGGTTAGTACTAAGATGGGTGACCGCTTGGATGTGCGGGTAGTTTTAAAGAATAATGGCACGGAATTGTTAATATGAGAGCCGAGTTCCATTTCCCGTTATATTCTCATACGCCCAAATACCCATGGACAATGTATGAATCCACCTTTTCTCCCCAGCTATGGGTTAATTAGTAAAACTTGTATCACTAACTCATTATTATCTTCAAAAAATTTTTACAGTCTAAAAATATTTTCCGGCTTTAAATAGCCGGTAGAAAAAAAATCCATCAATCTTCCTTGAAAAAATTTCATCAACACCTGTCGATGCATTGTACTTACACGAGAAATTCATTAATTTTTTTTTTTATAGTCTACTCAAGTATATCGCTTGTTTTGTAACCTCTTAGCGTCAGAGGGAACCACATGTATTGCCATCGTAGCAGAAGTAGTGCGTCTATGGCAAAATATCCTGATGGTTCCCTTCCCTCTTTGGATTGGTTTAGAATTGAGTTTTTTTTTATTATCTTATATTGATTACTACCTCAAGGAAAGTGAGTCCAGTAAACCGAGATATTTTGAACTAGAGCTGGGGCGATAAATTCATACATTTCCCAAGGGTATTTGTGTGAAAGTAAATGAAACTTACTAAGGATTCGAACACAGTTCACTGATCTCCCATTTCCACTCGCTAAACTTTACACAACTCGCGTATTTATACTCAACACATACAGATTTTTATAGACACATAAAAATCACTTCGGCCAAAAAGTTAAATAAAAAACAAAACAGAAGTTAATGCGTATGTCTTGCAATAATAACGATACTTATCACTAGATAAACTCAAAAATTTCTCCGGCGGCAACAAAGATGAGAATCCAAGGCAGAATAATTCATGACCTACTTGAAGGACTATTTGTCCTCATCTTTGTTTCGGCCGTTGTACGCTCCAGCCTTCTTCAGGTGGTTGGAATATCGAACTGAACCCTTTATTTCGCTTACTGGGTAGACTAGTTCCACGTGCCATGTTTAATGAATGCCAGTTATCTCCTGTTAATTCCCCTCTCCAGGTATTGAACTCGCACACTTTGGGTCCTGTCACTGGATCTAACTAACGCCTTTATCCACTGTGCCATGTGCCCTTGAGGACATCTTTGTATGAATTTCTGAGTATTATAAACCTAATGTCATATACAGATGTCCTCAAGGACATTTGGCACAGATGGATAAAAACAGTTCATCCAGTGACAGGACCCAAAGAGTGTGATTCAATACCAATTAAACAGTGGAGAACTTGGGAGGGAATTAACCGGAGATAATTGATAACTGACATCCGTTAAACATGGCACGTGGAACTAGAACAATCTACCCCAGTGAGTGAAATAAGAGTTCAGTTCGACATTCCAACCACCTGAAGAAGGCCGGAGCGTACAACGGCCGAAATGTTGTAATGAATATGGCGACAAAGATGAGAACAATAATCCGAAAAAAGTAAATAGTGTACATAATACCTCATCTCAGAAATATAGACAGATACTTGAAGAATTTTTAAATTATTGGTAGAATTTCATGCTGATTCCAAAATTGATTTTTCTTTTTTGTTTTTTTCTTCTTTTTTAAATAGGAAATGCGTTTGTTGGAAAGTTATGTGAGGAACGTGGTTGTCCCGGAGCGGACAGTTCTTGCAATGGTCATGGATCTTGCGATTCTTTGCGAAGTATTTGTAAGTGTTACCCAGGATGGACTGGTGACGACTGCTCTCAGCCAATTTGTCCAGGAAATCCTCCTTGTTCAGGTGAGCTCACTCGGGGTTGTATAACATTTTCGATTTTAATTACGTTTTCAAAATGATTTGTAATGCTCTCGGTGACTTTTCACATATATATTTTGTTTTAAAACTGACGGAGCGCATTCTTTTTCTTTAAAAGGAAACTTTTTTCGACCAACACTTCTTCAAGAAGATTCTTCAGAAAAAAAACCTCAAAGATAGAAAAAATAATCATAAACGGCTAAACTAAAAATGTGCATGGTGGCGGAAGGGTAAATAAGGAGCTATGACTAAAATAAATTTATTACTAAAACAATAAATCGATATAAATAGGCTCCTAGTAAATATAAAATAATTAAGAAAAAAAAAAAAAAAAGCTGTAATTCACAATCCACTCATAAGACACAGTGAACCAAGAAAATTTACCTTCTGCAAACCAACTTGCGATTCGAGACCCGAATTGAACAGCATTGCTCATATACGACAGGATGAAGTCAGAGAAAATATTCGCTTGACTCATTTGGTTTGTGAGTCAGCGATTGGGTTACATTTGGTGAACAACACGTGTTGCGCTTTGGAATATTCTGAAGAAGCGTTTCGAATACCGCACAAAGCTCGGTTGCTTAAACAATTACGTATATTTAGAAGCTGTTATCTCCTCTGACGTTTATATTGTGAAATTTAAATCGTACATTACGTAATCTTAGCGTTTTTCACTTCACGGGTAAAAAAAAAAAAATTAACTTTCGGATGAACACAGCAATTTTGTCTCAGAAAATTGAACACAATAATTTTTGTCTTAAAAAAAAAAAACACCCTGATGGTGACATTGTAATAATCTCGAAAGTACTCGGAATAAATGAATATGTATCAACATCGTAATTTTCTCTCTTCTGTTAATAAGGATACTAAGAAACTTGTCCGTGGATATTAGAGGTTCCTATTGAAAATAAGTAGACGAAACTTGTCTAAATTACTCAATGAGCACAGTCTAATCTTTTTAAGTGATTCCTTCAGCATTGCAATATTCCTCGAAACTCTCCAGAACACATGACAGAAATGCTGATCTACATCAATTTCAGTAAATTACTTCTGTGATGTAATCTTTTAATTCATTCATGTGTGGGGATTTCTCTATAAAAATTATTCTTTACAATACCCCCAAAAAGAAATCCATTGCTGTTAGGTCAGCTGAACATGGTGAACATTCGATGCTGCCCCTTCTTCTGAACAAACACTTTGGAAAGGTTTGGTTAAGGTAGTCCTTTACTGCCAAAGCATAATGGGGAGAAGCTCCATCTTGTTGAAACGACAATCCAGAGAAGCTATCTCTTTTTGTGAAGTAGAAATCTTAATCTTAGTAATAAGTTTTACTAATAAGTGGCAGGATGGGTTGGATGTTTCATAAAATCTCAGTGATAAAAAATGAACCCATTTTAAAATATTTTAGATATATCATTTTTAGTTCTTGTTATGCAGGATGGATCAAAAGTAGACTTACACATAGTAGGTATATACTTTACATTTTTACAAGACATTTTATTACATTTATATTTATTTGTTTCAATTATATTTGTTCAAAACTGTTTATGTACATTTGTTTAATATTTTACTTACATTTTTTTACCAGAGTTTAATCTCTTAAGTGCTGAAAATATTGTCCCCCAACATTGCAACATTCCACAAAACTCTCCAGAACACTATGACACAGCACGACACGAATACCGATCTGTATCAATTTCAATAAATATTTCTAAGGTGTACTCTTTTAAATCGTCCACTGTGTAGGGATTCCTCTCATAAACCCTGTTCTTTACTATACTCTCATAAAAAGAAATACATTAGGGTTAGGTCAAGTGAATGTGGTGGCCATTGTATGTTGCTTCTTCTTCCGAACCAACGCTGTGGATAGTTTTGGTTAAGGCACCTTAATAACATTTCCAAAACGTGAATAAGGGAAATAGATCACTGGTTTAGAATTATAATTTGAATAAATTGCATTTAAAACAAGTGTGAGCCTACTTTTGGCCCACAAAATATATATATATATATATATATATATATATATATATATATATAGTGTGTGTGCTTGTCTGTGTGGCCGAGTGGTTTCTGATCATGAGATCCAGGTCAATTTTGGGGTCGGTTGATGGATGTGCTAGCACGAAGTCACAAGTCATCTTGACCGAGGGTTTGATAGTGCTTGCCTTGTTCAAAGATTGCTTATCAGGCTAGATAAAATCTTTTCTCCCAGAAACTGTAACTAAGGTCCGCACAGTATAGTTGCAGTATAAACCACAGTTGGCTCCGTGGGTGTTGAACAAACACAATTGTGCCTGAGCAGGCGTCTTCAAAAAGGATTGCCTAGCCGCCTAGTAGATGGGTATCTTTAATTACGAGTAGGCAGCTAATATAATATATATATATATATATATATATATATATATATATATATATATATATATATATATAAGTATACTCAATTGGTGAAAAAACCCGGATGACGCAATTCGCAAATATAAATATATAGGAACAAATTGGTATCTGGGAAAAAACTTTGAAAAAAAGAAAGAACTAGAAACATCCGAGCAGGGCGAAAAAATGTCCAGTGCCTTAATTTCCAGTCCCCCCACAAAAAACAACATTAGAGTAATTAAGATAACACGTAAAGAGTTCAATGCCCTAAGTAAAGCAGAAAATGAAAATAACAATGAACTACCTACCTAGGTTTCACCTGAATGGATCTTCAGGGTAAACTTCAGTTTACCCTTTAGAATTTATTATATATATACTTCATTTTTCCATGATCAATGAGATGTAGAATCGAGAGGAAAATAAGCATCTGTGGATTAATGACTGCGACAGGCACTGGGAGAAAGTTGTCGCTCCTGCCGACCGGATGGCCTTTATCAAAACTAGAAACACGAAGACGGTAATTTCAAAAGATCACAATGCAATCGCTTCGGCAGTACATATTCTAAAATTGGAACGATACAGAGAAGATTAGCATGGCCCCTGCGCAAGGATGACACGCAAATTCGTGAAGCGTTCCATATTTTTTGGGCACCTCGGCGTGGTGTAACGGTTAGCAAGCTTGTCTCGCTAAAACAGTTACGACTAAGTAGTGATTCTCACTGGGTACCCCATACTTTGGGCCTTGTGCCACATCTAAGTAGGGCTTAGAAAATCACAACATTTGACTTTAAAACTTTGCAAAATTATCCATATTTTTTTTTTTTCCTATTTGGAAAGTTGATTGTTGGCCTCTAATTCCTTTTTTAATCTATTTTAATTTTC